AGAACAAAATTTGGGAAAACAAAAAAACAAAACCAAAACCAAAACCCAACTCCCACCTCTCACCCTGACGATAGCATTTCACACTAGCCATTTGATGGGTTCCATGGCAAAACCAGGTCTTCAGTGCCTTTCGGAAGAGTATTCATGAGGGGGCCATTCTAATCTTGGGGGAATGATGTTCTTCGATTTGCTTAATAGGGAAAAAGAATAGATTGAACTTTTTATTTTTTTTCTTGATGGTCTCTCTGTTGTCCTTCTATATCTGTGTTACACACTGAGAAACTTTGTATTTTGAAGTTTGTTATTTTACTAAACATACAGAGAGCTGTGAGGTCTACAACTGTAATGTCTATGGAGATTCTCAGTCATCCAGGTCATGGTTGTCCCAAAGGTGCTTTTTCAAGAGGCAACTGGACTTTCTAGTTTTTCTTTGAAGATGTTTCGCTTCTCATCCAAGAAACTTCTTCAGCTCTGGATGAGAAGCGAAACGTCTTCAAAGAAAAACCAGAAAGTCCAGTTGCCTCTTGAAAAAAGTACCTTTTTTCAATTACATTTATTGGAATATAATATGTCAGAAACAAAAGCTCTTGGCCCTTTATTCTCTGCCTTGAAAATTCATCATTATCTTCCCTGTTTTGAAGTATCGGTCTTTTTTTGTGTAATTTTTTTCCCTCTTAGATCGTTAAGAATTTAAAAATTTCTGAAGAATTAAAATTAACTTTTTTCATTTTTTAAAAATTGAAAAATTGAAATAAACAATTTATAATTGAAAAATAAATTGAAAAATTGGAAAAAAGAAGTTTAAAACATCTGTGGGCTGGTCTTTTCACTTCCGATCAACACTTACAGTATTACCATTAATCTTGAAGAAATTAGCTGAATCCACACAAGACAGTGCCACCCAGACCCATCTTCCACAGCATGATTATCTACTGGTTTTTGCTTGGAATTAGGATCTAAAGGTCATGAAGATTGGCTACCCCCCCCTCAATTTTAATTTTTTTAAAACAATTTTATTAGTTTTTAACAACAAACAAAACAAACAAAACATAAAAACATCAGGCTTTCTTTCATAAATATACAATACCCCTCAATTTTAGTTTAAAGCCCTTCAGGTAAGTTGAGCCAGTCATTTTCCAAATATATTCTCCCAGTTCTTGTGAGATTCAATCCATCCCTTGCCAGGAGCCCTTCATGTAGGTAATACAGGACATGGTTTAGGAAACAGAAGTTCTCCTGGTGACACCTGTTTTTAATCCAGTGGTTCATTTCTAAAATCTTTTGCTTTCTCATTGGATGTTGGCCTTTTGTTGAAAGTATAGATGCAAACTGTTCTGTATATGTATTTGCATTCTTGTAAACCTGTCTTCTGATTGGCTAAAATGCACAGCACTCAGATTGGTCGAGTGTGCGGCACTGATTGGCCGTTACGAAGCAACCGCGATGGGCCGAGCCGATTGCGGGTGATTCAAACAGCTGTCATTGGCTGCGGCACCCTGCACCAGTTCAATATAAGCCGCCACACTCCAAGCCGGCTGGCAGATCTATTCTGAATTAAAAAGAGCTTTAAACCAGTCATTGCCTCGCGTCTCTTCTTGGGACTGATCGACCGATATAACACAAACATCACTTGTACTCCTAATTCTTTAACTTTCTTTCACAGCTTTTTATAATCTCTTGTTATTGTTTTCAGATTCATTGTTGTGTCATTCAACCCCATGTGCAGGAGAAGAAAGGGATAGTAATCCATGGGATTGAGTATTTTATTTTATTTATTTGTTTGTCAAACATGTACAAGATAACAAGTATAAGTATGAACATAAACAAGAACAAGGAAGTAAATACAGATAAATGGGGACAGTAAGACAGGGACGGTAGGCATGCTGGTGCACTTATGCATGCCCCTTTTAAGGACCTTTTAGAAATGGGGTGAGGTCCACAGTTGATAGTTTGAGGATGAAGCTGTGAGAGGCTGAGGCTGTAACAATGGATCTGGGTAGGACGTTCCAGGCATTGAACACTCTGTGGCTGAAGTTGTATTTTCTGCAATCGAGTTTGGAACGATTTACCTTGAGTTTGTATCGATTGTTTGCCAATGTACTATTGTGATTGAGGCTGAAGAAGTCATTGACAGGCAAGATGTTATGGCAGACAATTTTGTGAACTATGCCTAGATCGGACTGCAAATGGTGTTTTTTTTTTTTTACTAAACATTTTTAGTTTTCAGCTACATCTTAGATTTTTGCTCCAGGGAGACAATATATTCCCTACATTAACTGCCGGGTCTGCACACTACAGTTTCTGTTCCACTAAGAATTTAATCTCCCATTGCGAATACTCACCATTTTTTTTCCCCAAAGGGGAGTCTGGAATGTTTTTCTTCCTGTCACAGGAATGCTGGGTTCTGCCTTTTTTTCCCATGAAACTGTTAATGACTGCTCTTTTGTGGGTGACTGCATATTTCCTTCCAGGGGAGACTATGAAAATGATTGTTCAATTCCAGAAGGGCTTCATTGGAGTGGATTAGGGTAGATAGCAGGGTTTTGTTTTTCATCATTGTTTTCTTTTAAAAGCGACATGATCTTCCTCTTTAGGTTCATATATAGTCTTTTTTTTTTTTTAACAGAAACTCTTTGTTCCCTATTGTGTTTAATTTTGATGTAGTTTTCTTGCTTATGTTGAGGTTTCTCACTCTGTTGATTAAGTTTCAGAGTGGCTAGAGGTGCCTCTAGACTCTTTAATTTTTGTTCTAATAATTCATATAATTTACATTTGATACATACATAGTTTGTCTTCTGTGGGCATAAGCTCAAACATATGATATATTTTGTAAGCCACTATAATGTCAGTCTCTTTTTCCATGACTTTTTTTTAGTTCCCTAAAAAACTAAAAAATTCTAAAAATTGAATATTTTCCCTGTTGTCAAGTGTCAGTCTACAATAACAATTTCCAAAATTCTATGGCCCTCTGAATTGAAAATTCACCGCTATTTTCCCTGTTTTGAAATGCTGATCTTTTTTTCGTGACCCCTCCCTTTAGTAGCAGTGTGGAATATGGGTGTATATGGGTGTGAGATCATTCAGAATTTAAAAATTTCTAAGGAATTAAACTATTTTTTTCATTGTTTTTGAATTGAAAAGAGATTCAAAAAATTTAAAAAAGAATTTTAAATTGAAAAATAAATTGAAAAAATGAAGAAAAGGATTTCAAAAGGATTTTCTTTAAAAAGAAAAATAATAATTTGGGCATGAGAGTAGACTATATAACATTATACTGTAAAAAATCCTGTAAGAGATACTTATAAGATACTCCTGTGTTGCTGAAGTTGTCCATTTTTAAGGCACCAGAGAAAGAGGAACAGAAAGCACACCAAAGCATATCCAGTGCATTTATTAAGGATTAGGCCAAGAAAAGATACAACTTTTCTCATTTGGCAGCTTATGGAAACATGCAAATCTCTTAACGTCATCTTTTAAATCAAAAGTTGGCCTTCATATTTCTCTATCTCTGTCCCTTTCTCCTTTGCTTGTTCAGTCTTATTAAGTCAATGAAAGCTCAAGAATGACTCCTCCATAAAATGTGATATGAGTTCAAAAAGTAAAATAGACAAAAAAAAATTCTATGTATGTGTGTATATATATATATATATGGATCTTTGGTTATTCGGGTTTTCTCCCACGTAAGATTGGCAGTATCTAGGCAATGTTTCGATGAAGTCTCATTCATCATTTTCAGGCTTGTGTCTTCGGCTCTGTGCTTCTCAGAGTGATGTGAGCTTGAGCTGCTTCTTCCTTTTAACTGCTAGTGGGGATGTGACTTGATTGGGTGGGGGCTTGGCTGTGTTCTGATTGGGTGTGTGTGTGTTCTCATTGGTAGGGGTTTTGGCTGTGTTCTGATTGGTTGGGGGGTTGGCCGTGTTCTGATTGGCTGGAGGCATGTTCTGTTCAGGTGGGGGCTTCGTTGTGCTCAAGTTAGTCTTAGTTGCTGGGGGATTTGAGCTGGTGAGCTGTGATCCTGCTGTTTGGCTTCGAGTTTGTGGTCATGCTGCATCTTCATGGTGGGTGTCAGTTTGCTTCATGTATGGCTCGGAGGGGTTTGAAGTGGGTAGTGATGCAGCTGCAATGCGGTTTCTGGTCTGTGGTCGTGTTTCATCTTTTGTGTGGGTGTGAGTCTTCTTTCTGCATGGAAGTGTGGTGGTGGCATCTTGTGTGGCCCTCATGGGTGTGGGTCTGGTGTCATTCTTCATGTTAGGTACTCGTCTGTTCATGAGGGCAGGTTTCCAAATGGCTGGTAGGCGGGAGGTGTCATCTCGTTTATTCATGCTGTGTGGGCGTTTTTCTATCTCTATGGCTTCTCTGATTATTCTGCTGTTGAAGTGTTCGGCTTTGGCGATAGTTCTGGTATTTTTAAACTAACAGAAGAATAAGTGCACGCATTGAAGAACATAAGAACTCAATAAAAAAAGAAGAACCGACCTCTTCCCTGGTCCAACACCTCAAAGCCACAGGACATGAGATTGACTTTAAAAATACCAGAACTATCGCCAAAACCGAGCACTTCAAAATTGACATATGTGTAAGCCATTTTAGTTAGGCTCAGAATATATTCTTTTTCTTACTTTCTCTTTGGCAGTCATGGGGGAAGAGTTTCGGGCTTGCCACATTCCTAAGTGGGGAGGACTGGAGATAGAGAGAGTTGTTTTGGCTAGGTGATTCTTCTTCCTGTGGGAATACGAGCTGTCTGTGCTTAGGTCCCTTGAGGTGAAGATTTATGACACCAAGCAAGGTTGAATTACTTCTATTGGCAAATGTGACTGTTGGGGGGTTGTTTCTAACTTCAGATATTGTGGGGTAATTCCAGGTTGTGTCAGATCTGGAATTACCATGGACTTTGCCAATTTGATGCTTTCCTAAATAAAAGAAATTGTCTTGGAAGATGGACTTTGTTCTTTTCTTTTTAAATGGATTTCATCATTTGGATACCTGACATTATTTCTTGATTGGGGTATTGTTTACTTGATTGTTGGTCTCATGTTAACCTTGGAGTTAATCTATATTGATCTGGGTGCTGCTTATTGGTGGAGAGGTGCTGGGGTCTTTTTGTGCCTCTTGGGTTGGTTGATAGTCTCTTTTGCATACTTTATAGAGGTCTAAACCCAAACGAACTGCAATGGATAATTAAATAGTATGAGCCTAAAAAACAATTTCATAGTTATTTCCCTCCTTTTATAATGAGATGTTCCTTAGTATTTAGATTTGGCCTGAGGATGATAATATAGCACTTGGGGAAGAAGATACAAACAAGTAGCCCAGCACCAGAGGCCAAAATGGAGAAGACCTGCACAGCCACCATGGACTTTCCTTTGGTACTCAGGTAGGTGGGCAGGAAGGAAATCCAGACACTGCAGAAGACAAGCATGCTGAAGGTGATTAGCTTGGCTTCGTTGAATGCCCCAGGCAGATTCCTGGCCAGGAAAGCCATAATGAAGCAAATGACAGCTAGGAGGCACATATAGCCAAGGACAGCATAAAACATGCCAACAGAGCCTTCATTGCATTGAAGGATGATCTCTCCAGGCTGGGAGTGCAGATCAGAGTCAGGGAATGGAGGAGAAATACCCAACCACAGGGCACAGATGAAAGTTTGGCCAGCAGAACCGGAAAGGATGATGGAGTTGGCCAAACTCTTCCCCAACCATCTTCTCATCCTGTTCCCTGGTTTTGTGGCCAGGAATGCCAGCACCACTGTAATTGTTTTGGCGAATACAGAAGACACAGCTACTGAGAAGACAATGCTGAACACTGTTTGTCGGAGAAGACAGGTGGCTTTCCTTGGGCGTCCAATGAAGAAAATGGAGGTCAAGAAGCAAAGTAGGAGGGAGACCAGGAGGATGAAGGAGAGGTCCCGGTTGTTGGCTTTGACAATGGGAGTTTCTAGGTATTTAATGAATATGATTAAAATAAGGACTGTGATTAGGAACAAGAGTAGGGCCACAGAAACAAGGGTGATACCCAGTTTTCCTTCATAGGACAGAAAGTTCCTTCTTTTGGGGATACAACGGACTCGGGTTTTGGTTGGATATTGGTCATCTGAACACTTGGTGCATTTTTCAGTATCTGAAAAAACAGAAAGAAATATTTCTTTTACGCTCTTTTCTTTCCCATATTCAGAAAGACCTTCTTTGGATGGGAGCTGATATGGAAGCCCATAATATATGATAAATAGGCATAAATATAACACCTCATCCCAATTCCTGGGACAAAATCTAGGTTTCCAGAAGTTTAGAAGGACGGGGCCTGTTTGAATTCAAGGGAGATGGTGTTCAATATCGCAGGAGCTGCAACCAAAATGGAATGCTTCCAAGGACCCACAAAGTGGCAATATTTAAGGAAACAACTAGATATAAGGACAGTTTTCCCCTCAAATGCCATCACTCTGCTAAACAACTAATTCCCACAACACTGTCAAATTATTTACGGAGACTGTATTACTATTATTCCTCTCATCCTTCCTCTCTTCCCACTTTAACCATGCTGCCTCTATAAATAAATAAATTTATATTGTCTTATTTGTTTCCTAGTATGATTTGATTGCTTATTAGTAACTACGACTATCACTAAGTGTTGTATCTTATGATTTTTGATTAATCTACTTTCTTTTATTTTTCTTTATGTACATTGAAAACATATGCACCAAAGACAAATTCCTTGTGTGTCCAATCACATTTGGCCAATAAAGAATTCTATTCTATTCTATTCTATTCTATTCTATTCTATTCTATTCTATTCTATTCTATTCTATTCTATTCTTATGTAGCTCTATGATCTTAATAAAGAATAATTGATTAATTGAACAATTGTTGGATCTATCTTTTGGCCTGTAAGGTAAAGTTGATTGGATGAGCAAAAGTCATTGATTTAAAATTGTTCCTCAAATTAGAAAAAAAAATCAAATGGTCCTAATAAGGTAGAACATGGCAGGACACTTCCAAACTGACAAATAGAAGTGAGGTTTCCTCTGAGAGAAGTAACCTTGCCCACTCTACTATGTACTCCTATCTCTTCCAATCTCATCCTTCAAGATCTTTTTCTTATTCCTCCCATTATGGAAAATATCAGATATCTTGAAAATTAAGAATAACAAGGCAGTCAAGCTTAGATGGGTCTATTTTAAGATGCACATTGATCAAAATGCTCTGGGTGAATTCAGTACCATTTTCTGTGATGTCACCCACCATTGTGAGTAGAGATGGTCCCCTCCGGACAAGGAATGCAGTCATAGCAGCAAACTGGCTCACCTTCCCGGGTCCGTTTGAAAAATCCAGGAAGACAATTATCCACACATTTGGACTGAGGCAGAGACTAGTAATTCAAAGAAAATATACTAAGGCTCACCATATATGAAAAACGCATACAAACACGAACATTACCCAAGTAGTCTATAGGCTTTACTTAAGCAAATATAAAATATCTGACTAGTTCCAAGAAGCTGTAAGAAATACTATTATTTCTTCATTTAGTCATCCTTTTGCATCTGACATATCTGATTGCAATAAAGGAATTTTCTATTTCATGAAGTCTGGAGTTATGGAATTGAAAAAATTAAATTAAATGACATTAAATGACAACCAGAGGGCAATTCATTTCATATGAACCTGGGCCTCCTTCCTAGGAATATAAGGGTTTTTTTTTGTTTTTGGTGAAAGGGTGAAAGAGAAACATGGATAATGTGTAAAAATCTGGGCTACTTAAAAACATCACTGACTATGGATCTTCTCTTTCAGGGGACATATTCCTCAACCAGGATGCGCTGGTCAGAAGAACTGCCTTCTAATTTGCTGTTTGAGGTTGAGTGACAAGTGAACCTGAGGATATTGGCACCACGAACCCCAGTACTTGATGGTCTCTGTCACCAGTTTTATGGTAATACAAGATTGCAGAGGGGATGTCAATGTTCCAGCAAAACCAAACTCCCATCAAAAATTCCAGGACAGTTATTTCCCCCCCTCAAAGTTCCATTTTATTAGAATTGTCATACTGGCACATCTAAGAAAACCTGAATCTGAGAGTTCCTGGTCTTCCTGGAGTAATTCAAAAAACCAAATCCACCCCCTGCAGCCATCAATGGCCCAAGCACCATCCGTCCCAACTTGAGACATCCCTCAAACCACTCCTCATGCCGGTGGAGAAAACAAATGACCTTGACGGAAAAGAAGAATGCTATTATGTCGAACTACATATGCTCCATGAATTCCCCCCTCCCAATTCCCCAGGCACAGGAATGTGGCAGCATGGAAGCTTCTGCTGTTAATATGGCTTCCAAAGCTGACAGGGGAACCAAAAGGGCCGTGATCTGTGTCCTCAAGGATAATCACCCAGAATCCCATGTTGGACATTGCTGAATCAGCTAAAAACAGTTTGTTCCATATTATAGCCTCTGAAGAATCCCTTGGTTAGTAGTACTGAAGCCTCTCAAGCCGTCTAAGAAAACTATCAGGTTAATACTCCTCAAATGTCAGCTGGATCTCCAGCATGGGATTTTCCTTTTGATGCATTCTTGCTATTGGCTGCCATAGTAACAGAGGTGGGGGTGCATGGCATTTGGGTTTGGTGTTGATGTGGTGAAGGCCCATGTGTACTAAAAGGGAGGTTTGCTGTCAAGAATTACTATGCTGCTGAGTGGAAATGTGTACTCTTTGTCAAGGCCAATTATCCTAGAACTCCAGATGGGTGAAATACCCGAAGATGAGCTTCACATGACATTATGCAGGACGTGGATTGGACATTCAGTCTGGGACTCTGGGATGAGGGATTTTGGGAAACTTTCAACCTGTAACTTTTGTGCCTTTTGAATCAGATCTTGTTTGCTTTCACTGCTGTCATTTCAATCTCTTTACTTCAATGGAGTTGGAGGTTTTCTTTCTTGGGTTTTGAATGGAGACAGGCCCGACACCTTATTCAATTCTCAGTGGAGGCCATCCAACTTGGTGACTAGGCTTACTCCACTTGATCTGGGTCCTAAGCCAATAAGAGAAAAGACACTAAGAGTTCTCCCACCTTGTTGAACAGTTCTAGCCGTGGTAGAACATCTTGGTTGACAATAAGTCTTTGTCTTTCCAAGCTCCCAATTTGTTCTTCAATGGGATCGTCCTCAGGGATAATCACGGAGCTCATGATATTCAGATCTGCTACTACATCTCCTTTTTGGTCCAAGTACAGTTCCAGATGGGAAAGATTGCATAATTCATTCTTCTCCAGAAAGGGGTGGAACTAGAATGAAAACATCAAGGAATTTTAAGAGCAGAAACTTTGGTTCCTTATCTCAGATGGCCTTTTCACATGTGAATCTGTCTTCTACTTACAAACTTTCTTAGTTGGGAAAACTAGTCTTACCCCTCTTTTCAAAGCAACATTTGTCAATCGTATGCTGACAAAATATACATTGAGAAAATATCATTGATGAAATTTGTCAGTTATAGGGAACATACGGGGACAAATAAATTCAAGAAACAAATGAAAAGATTATTTAAAAATTCCTGGAAAACAATGGGTGAATTGTCGGACACTATATAGGTTTGTCAGAAATAAACTTGCCTAGTTAATCAACAATCAGATGAGCCAATTCTACATTATTGTAAGGCTACGTCAACAGACTCTGAAAGTGTGAACCTCCCACCAACTCTTTTTACAACCTGAAGAGTTGAAGGGGATCCTTTCTGAGTTTCTTTCTCTGTCTTGTTATATACATATAGGCTTCACCCATCTTATTTGATCATTGGTTATACAGCATCTCTTCTCCCTGTCTTAACAGTCATTCTCTTATAGCATTGTATTTTCTTAAGAGATTGTGGAAATGCTGGAAATATGGTTTCATTTCAACAAGGTATTAACTACAGTACTTCCTGATTTGATTAGGAATCTAATTTAACTGAGGCCTGGATGGTGTGATAATTAAATGAATAAAATTGTCTTAAAATTGGACTAAAGTATTTTTGAATGTTGCTCATGAAACTAACAAGTTATGAATGCAATTAGCCTTGGTATAAATACTGCATTGTATGATTATGAATCAACAACACTACCTTCTTCTATATTTGCATTAATATAGATAGGTACAGTTTAGAAATCATGATTTTGTGATGCAAGATGTATATCAATTTGTAGACAAAGTTATTTTCATGTCTTTCAAAAATATCAAGCTTCCACAAAAATACTTAAGATTTCCTGATAGAGAGAGCTACATAAGTAAAATCCAACAGAAAAATATTTGACTTTTAGCTTACTAGGACTTGACAAAATATGATGTGTGTGTGTGTGTGTGTGTGTGTGTGTGTGTTGGACTTCCTCACTAGTCCAACACATGAAAGCCACAGGTCATAGCATCAACTTCAATGGCACCAAAACCCTAGCCACTATGGAAAACCCCAGCCACAGAATTATCAGAGAAGCCATAGAGATTGAACAAAAACCTGAAAGCTTGAATAGAAGAGATGATTCCACCAGACTGCCAATCATTTGGAAGCCTGCACTCACAAACAAAAAAATATCCACACCACTAGCCAGGCAAACACCTGGGCACGAACAGATCCCCCCGATACCTCCAGCTCAAACACACCCCAACCAGGCACCCAGATGAAACCTAGCTTCCTAACAAATGATAGCTGTCCATTTACTCAGAGCCAAGCTGCACTAAAAGCCTTCAATACAGGAACACAATGTTGCCAGCCAATCAAGACACAAAAAGAGCCACAAAACAGAGAGAAGATATTAGAAACACCAATCAAGCAGAACACAGCAAACTCCATAAATATAAACAGCCAGACCAAAACCTATGAGAAGCTGGAAGTTAAAAGAGCAGGAACACTATGTGACCTCAAATTCCTATGCAGCTGCAGAGACAACAATGCAACACCAACCTGCTTCAAATTAACATTTCATCACAGCACAGCAGCTACTAAATGTATCCTGAAAAGAACTGAAATGGCTCTACTCAGGAACGAGCTCTACAGAAAGAGATTCCAATTGGATCAGTTAAACAAAGATTTGCTAGCACTACACCTGGAATTGAGCAGCAAAATCCACCCTCTACTTTGGGACAAGATAAAACCACTTACAACTTGGAGAGCTGAAACTGAAACCACTTACAAAAATGACAAACTCTTGAAGAAACTAAAGAAATTAGAACATGACAAGAAAGCCCCCAACACCTCACAACAACACCTGAAACAATTAGTATATAACGTTTCCAACAGAGAACTCACCAAAACAGAAACAGATGTCCTAACCAAAGGATTCAATTATGCTATAGCACCCCAAAAAATCCCCACAGAATCCATCATATGTGCAGTAGAATCCAGCCTAACTAAATTAAATACAGATGAAGCTGATAGAATAAGACACCAAGTTACTAACATCCTATGCACAAGCAAACCACCCAAAAACAACTTGCAGAAAGAAGAACTAAAGGCGCTGCAAACCCTGAAAAAAGATAGCAGCATAATCATACTTCCAGCAGACAAAGGGAATGCCACAGTAGTAATGGATAGAAAAGACTATGAAACAAAATTGACAGACATACTCCAAGATGCCACATACAAACCCATAAACACGGACCCAAGCACGTATCTGGAAAAATTAACCAAGAAGAAAATTATAACCAGCCACATGAGCAAAGAGATCCAACAGATGATCATCCCAAGAAAAAAATCTTCCAGATGCCCCAAACTATATGGCCTCCCAAAAATACACAAAGAAGGCATACTTCTCAGACCCATAGTCAGCTCCAGAGGAGCACCACTACAAAACCTAGCTAAACACTTAGCAAAACAGCTACAGCCCCATGCTGAAACAGCAGCTTCACATGTACAAAACTCATACCACTTCTTGGAAATTATCAAAGATCTACACGTGGAGCAAGAAGATCTGCTTGTAAGTTTCATCGTGGTTTCACTATTCACTCAAGTCCCAATAAAAGAAACTCTTGAAATCATCAAAAATAAATACCAACCAGCTAAATACCTCATGGAACTAACAGAACACTGCTTAACCAACACATATTTCATATACAAAGGACAAAGATACAAGCAAATTGAAGGAGCCCCTGTGGGATCACCACTGTTACCCATCACTGCAAACCTGTTCATGGAAGAATTTGAATCCAGAGCCCAAGCTAATGCCACCCACAAACCCAAACTATGGTTAAGATACATCGATGACACATTCGTGATTTGGTCCCATGGAAAAGAAAACCTAAACAATTTCCTAACACACCTAAACAGCACACACCCCAAAATCAAGTTCACCATGGAAACGGAAACAAACAAACAACTACCATTCCTAGATATACTAATCTACAAAAAAACAGATGGCACACTAGGACACACCATTTACCAGAAGAAAACACACACTAACCACTACCTCAACGCCCAATCCCACCACCACCCAGCACAGATAAACTCTGTGGCTAAAACACTAATTGCTAGAACCAAACGCCTGGCAGACAAGACACACATAAAGACTGAACTATGCACTCTGACTAAAGTACTGACAGCTAACAGCTTCCACAAAAGCAAAATCACCGGCTTGATCCACAAAAACACACTGCGACATAATGGAGATCTAGAAGATGAACAGACCTATGGAACAGCTGTCCTGCCCTACATAAGGTACTACAGACAAAATCAGTAAGATACTACACAGGCATCACATCAAGACTGCCTTCAAAACAGACAGAAAAATAGCAGCCATCCTTAGAAACCCCAAAGATAAAATTGACCTGGAAAACCAAGGCATATATGAAGTCCCCTGTGCATCATGCCCTGCCACATACATTGGACAGACCAATAGAAGAATAAGTACCCGCCTGGATGAACACAAAAATGCAGTAAAAAAGCTGGAACACACTTCCTCACTAGTCCAACACATGAAAGCCACAGGTCATAGCATCAACTTCAATGGCACCAAAACCCTAGCCACTATAGAAAACCCCAGCCACAGAATTATCAGAGAAGCCATATAGATTGAAAAAAGACCTGAAAGCATGAATAGAAAAGATTATTCCACCAGACTGTCAATCATTTGGAAGCCTGAACTCACAAACAAAAAAATCTCCACACCACTAGCCAGGCAAACACCTGGGCACAAACAGATCCCCCCTGATACCTCCAGCTCAAACACACCCCAACCAGGCACCCAGATGAAACCTAGCTTCCTAACAAATGATAGCCATCCATTTACTCAGAGCCAAGCTGCACTAAAAGCCTTCAATACAGGAACCCAATGTTGCCAGCCAATCAAGACACAAAAAGAGCCACAAAACAGACAGAAGATATTAGAAACACCAATCAAGCAGAACACAGCAAACTCCAAGACCAATAAACACAGACCAAGACTCCCAACCAATCAGGATGAAGAAAAAAACCATTCTGGCACAGGAGTAGGCTAGCCCCAAATTTAAAATTGAAACCACTGTAAAAGTCTGATTCACAGACGAACACAATACAGAAGCCTGATGATGGCAGATGAGATTCTGCCAAAACATTGCTACAACTTTAAAAGCACAACTACAATGACGTGGGAAAATACCCAAACAAAGCTGAATACCACACACACACACACACACACACACACACATTTATTTATTTATTTATCTAG